ATAGGCTGAGAGTGCGAGAAATGAGAGTGGCCTTCTCTCCAGAACTCAGCCATGGTAAGCCGATTAAGCGGAACGACCCATTTCAGTCTGAGTCCACTCTCTCCACATCCCACCATCATCACGGATGGAGAGAGCAGGGAGGAGGGAGAGACACACAGAGAAGATCACTTTCACTCTCATAAGGATGAGAGCAGCCATTTTCAAACTTAATACATCTTTCCAGGTTAACGTCTTAGTCATGCTCATGACTGGCTATGAGAAACCTTCAAAATACATCTTATTAGATCCTTGTCTACGAAGATAAAAATGTAGCAAAACTGACCTGGAATAACAAGTAGTGATCTTTATCAGATTGGTTCCAGCAGCTCATGAATCAGATCAGAATCTGCCCTGTGTTTCATTACAGTCTTCTGAGGTTGTGCGTCCTATTGTGGTTGGTGACGTTCTGTATGGGATAAATTAATGACATTTTCAAAAATCGCCACTGTCACACACTATCGAAAACAGCAAAACGTTTCAGAGCCAATGTGTTTCATATTATACATTTTTACCCCGAATGTCACTGAATCCTCTGAATTACGAAGTCATTCAGTAGTCAGCATGCTAATGTTACTACATATATGCATGCAAGCTAACGTTTCTGTTCATGACTTTGCATGAAAGTAAAGCTACTAGTGTAACTACACTTGCTAGATCCAAGCCAAGGACTATTTAGGAACCTTTGTTTTTAAGAGTGCCCTGCTTCAGATGATACTGCATGTTATCTTCTCACAAAATCATTTACATGTCTTAGATAAGCGACAGTGGTTACTCAAAGGGCCCTGGGGGCTTGATACATCATACCAGACTGTAAATGTTATTGATGAGGATGCATTACATGGTAGCTCTGAGGAAGGGATTTTGGAAGACAGGCTTTGTAGCAGCACTTGTAGACCAGGAGACAGCCCTCAAAATCCACTGGTGTATATATATATTATTTGAATTAAACTGAGCCCCTGAGACAACCTGTAGACAGATTTATATGACTTTTTACGTTACATAATTGCAAAAATATTCATATTGCAAAATATTTACATCTGACACCCATAGGAAAGTATATGAAATGAGCTTAGGTCGGTGCTTACGCTGTTAAAAGCAACAATACAGTGCTGCATGCAAGAGGAACCATTCAAAACCCAATGAACACTACATGAACTCTGCACATTGAGTGGGCATGACTGTAATTTAGCTATAATTAACTTAGCTATCATTCCACAACTGTGTTTGTGGATTCATACATTACATGGTGGTAGACACAGTGTGTCAAATTTAAGACACGAACAGAATTATCAAAAAAATGTCTGAGAATGCCGCTCTCCTTTGTCAGTTCACTTGCAATTACTTCACTTATGTTCAGCACGAGCGCCAATGCCATCACAATAAGAGTCCCCTAAGGAAGAACCACAGAGAAGAACCAAGACTAAAGGAGGAGAAACTTCTTAAGAGCATGAGGAACAACAACTGAAAGGAACCAAGCCTCATTAAGGAAACTCATCCTCCTCTGTTCTGTAAGACGGTTCAGTTAGGAGACAAGTAGGACAAGTTTTTAAGAAAGACTTAAGAGCGGTAGTGGGATCAATCAGAGGAGTAATCTAGTAGATACACCAGTAACTGATGGAGAAACTTGTCAGAAAAGAGACAACAATTTAAGCTGAAACTTTGTCACTTGGAGAACACACAGTAGTACCCATTAAAACATAACTATGCTCATTGCTCAGCATGCCCCCACTAAATGGGAACATCAACCCAATGATGGAAGCAAATGGAAAAAGTTATCATCAGCACGCCTGATATAGCGCTGCTCATAATGGCCTCCCATATAGATTTCAACCCAGTTTTGGCTTGCTTTTATGTACAGCTTATTTGTATGGGCCTCATGAAAGAGTGCCATCATTAAGGGTGGGCGTTTCAAATGACATTGCTATGCAAATTTCTTTGATTTTCTTTCAATTTTCTTCCCATTCAATTTTTGCTTGGTTCTTATGAATAGTATTCAGATATCCAAAACAGTCTAAATAGTTTATAGTTTTGCACTTCATCAATCAGATATCATGGCCATAATGTTTGTTTGTTTATAGCTTATTGGATGACCCCTCTTACCCTGTGCAGAGGGAAATAGGTAGAATAACCTAAACATATTTTCCAGTAGGAGAAGTAGAAGTACCTTTTCAAAAGTAAGTTGAGCACAAGCACAGATGTTCAGAAAACTACTTAAGTAACTTGTAGAACTGCTGTGGAACTTAGTATATCCGGCCTCTATCAGCATAGGAACTGTTTCTTAGGCTCTATTCTTCTCTTTGGTCTTAAATTATAAAGCTACAAAGTTAAAGGTGTGAGCAACAGTACATTAGTCCAGATGCTACATAAGAGAATAAATTTAATCCCAAAAAAGAAATTAGGAACAAATGGGACTGAGTAAAAAGTACCTTAGTTTATATACAATGTGCTTGAGTAGAAGCAACTCAACTTGTGTTATCATTTGAAAATGAAGGGTTTTGTTCCAAAACTGACAGCATTAAATGGCACTTTCTCATATACATCTGTTTGTGTCATGCAAAATTGCAAGGCCTTTATGAAAGTTTTAATGGCACTGGAGTTTTCTAGGATATAATTATTAAATCCAAATGCATATTCAGAGAAACTCTCACCACTTTGAATGCAGGAATACTGTTAGTTTAAATGCACAGCATCACCCTTTGCAGTTAGTATAAAGCACAAACGCATATAATCACTAATTAACAATCAGCATGCCAATCAGAGAATGAGGACGATGTCTCATTCCTGCTGAGAGAGAGAGAGGAGGGGGTAATCAGAGAGGTGAGAGACGGTAGGTGGGTGGTAGACAAGACGGCACCATATGAACAAAATATCATGAATGTATTTTAACCAAGGACACGCCAATACCACTTTTTCCTCTTCTGATACCGAGAACCTGGGCCTACAAATTTCCCATACTGATACTAACTCTGTCTAATCTGACTATTCAATAAAACATACTACGCTTGAATGAATGGCCTACACTGGGTGGATAACATTTCAGTGGTTTCAGAGCTATGGAAAGCTCCTGTGCTCTTTTGGAGGGTTTATATGTTTTTAAATGCTTAAGTAAATTTGATGTAAATCATTGCTGGTCAGCTCTCCCTTCAAAATACTGCTCAATACAGATTTTGTGGCATGTGTTTATTTGTCAAAATGTTAATGTTTGCATGTGTACATACTACATACATGTTTAGTGGGGGCATAATGATACATATGTTACACATATGATACAATTTTCTATTTAATTTGCTTTTTTTTTAGTTAGATTTTCATTTATTATTCTACAGAGTTCTACAAAACCTTTTCAATGCCTGCCATGGCACCCATTAAAAAATTATAACTGATTTATAAAAAGCTTGGTCATGGATGCATGCATAACAGAAGCCCCTCCCTTTCCAAAGTAAAAAAAAAAAACAATACAAGTTATTAATATATGCAGAGAAATTTGACAGCCCAGCAAAATTGTCCCCATCAGATAAACAACACTCAAAAGCTTTATCTTTAAAAGATGGCGAAAGTATCCTGAGAAGAATGGAAGCTGTAATAATGGCAAAGCGTGGGTAGACTAAATACTGAAAAATTAATATTACAGTTATTTATTGAGGCTTCAGTGTTTTCTGTTTTTTGGTGATGCTTAAAAATGTACTTCTAACAGCTGTTTTGACTGGAAATTAAATAAATGTAGGAAGGTCTCTGACTTTTGCATAGTACTGCATGGGTATAAAATAAACATTTTTATTACCCTTTTCACACTCAGAACATGACACTCACTTGTGTACCTCATTGGATTAGCGATAAACATGTCATCAAGCATAGTCGTGCAAAAATCTGAAAAAAAAAATCATATTTTGGTGGAGTGGAGGGCAGAAAGGGTAATTTGTTGCCTGAGGGCTACAATGTGCAGCACTAATACATTGTGCAGCCCAAGCAAAAGCAAATATGAGCACTGATGCAGAACTCCATGAGGACAGATGGGTGAGAGAGTGTGGAACAGACTGAGAGAGAGAGAAGGTGAACAGGACAAAGGTGAATAGAAAGTGAGAAGGAAAGAAGGAGAACGCAGTACAAGTAAAAGAGGAAGAGTTAGAAGGACAGATAGAGAAAGAAAGTAAGCGACGGGGGTTTTAATTAATCCTGATTACCTGCTAACGTGCCTGATCTCCTTCAGGAAGTTTTCACCTCAGTTAAAGATCGAGAGTCACTTAATCTTCTGACGGAAACAGCAAATGCATGACTTAAAGAGAAACTAAGACAGAAGAGTCATTCAAAAGATAAAATAAGAGTACAGCAGGAACTTCTACCACTTGTGTTTCGCTTTTATTTAACTATAAATATGCATGAAATCTGTAAAATACTCAGTGTACACACATATGATCTTGTACTTTGGTTTTATTCTGTAGTAAGCCAGCAGTATACCTCAAAGGACAAACGGAACTCCTGCCAAGCACACTGTTGTAAATATACTTGTAAAGAAATCAGTGTATGTCTCAGCACTACTAGTAGCCTTCTTCATGCAGTGGGCCAATCACAGTCATGGGGAGGGCTCAGAACATAAGACACGATTGTAAGGACCAATCATATTCAGATAAACTCAAGCCACTGCATCCAAAATGATGTTTTTTGTTTGTTTTTTTTCTAAAACGTTGTGTTCATTTGAAGTATAGTGCCAGCTTTATTGTTGCAAGTTATTGAAAGTTGTAATGTTTTTTGCGCAGCAGTGGCCTACTGTTAATAAACTACATTGCCTGACAGATTATCTATTAAGTTCTGGACAACTGAGCTACATTAGGTTGCCTACTCAATATTAAGGCTGGTTATTAAAAGCTTTACTTAGAGTCAGTTTTGTAAGATTTCTGTATATCAGAAAAAAAATGTCATAATTCTGGTAATTAACCTTTGATTCTTGTTTCCTGTTCGTACAGGAAGTCCTGTCCAGGGCAGTCCTTTACTGTCGTCATTGCCACTTCATGGACGGCCGCTGCAGCCTCACCTGGACCTGAAGCACATTCTTCCTCTGAGGGTCAATGGCTCCTCCCCACTCAGCCTATTCCCCAACTTTAACACGGTCAGTTTAATCACACTAGTAAACGTTTACACCAGTCAGGCATAACATTATGACCACCTCCTTGTTTCTACGCTCATTGTCCATTTTATCAGCTCCACTTACTGTATAGGTGCACTTTGTAGTTCTACAATTACAGACTGTAGTCCATCTGTTTCTCTGCATACTTTGTTAGCCCCCTTTTACCCTGTTCTTCAGTGGTCAGAACCCCCATGGACCCTCACAGAGCGGGTACTACATGGGTGGTGTATCATTCGCAGCTCTGCAATAACACTGATGTGGTGGTGGGGTGTTAGTGTGTGTTGTGCTGGTACAAGTGGATCAGACACAGCAGTGCTGCTGGAGTTTTTAAACACTGTCCACTCACTGTCCACTCTATTAGACACTCCTACCTTGTCAGTCCACCTTGTAGATGTAAAGTCAGAGACAATAACTCATCTGCTGCTCTACAGTTTGTGTTGGTCATCCTCTAGTCCTTCATCAGTGGTCACAGGACGCTGTTGGCTGGATATTTTTGGTTACTGGACTATTCTCAGTCCAGCAGTGACGCTGAGGTGTTTAAAAACTCCAGCAACACTGTTGTGTTTGATCCACTCACACCAGCACAACACACACTAACACACCACCACCGCGTCAGTGTTACTGCGGTGCTGAGAATGATCCGCCACCCAAATAGTACCTGCTCTGTGAGGGTCCATGGGGGTCCTGACCACTGAAGAACAGGGTAAAAGGAGGATAACAAAGTATGCAGAGAAACAGATGGACTACAGTCTGTAATTGTAGAACTACAAAGTGCCCCTGTATAGTAAGTGGAGCTGATAAAATGGACAGTGAGCATAGAAACCAGGAGGTGGTCATAATGTTATGCCTGATCTGTGTATATACCTCACCCACCCAGTGTTATTGGGTATCTGTGCTCTGCCAACAGATGTGTACTTTCCACTTGGGATAATTGTAAAATCCCATTCAACCCTTTGAGAAATTACAACAATAAATACAATAATAACACAATGAATTTGTGTTGGAGATTAGATTTTGAGTTACCAGTTTAAAATGCTACTGAGCTGGACTGTGTTGCTGTAGCTAATGAAAACTAAACATTAGCACAACAAAGAAACACAACAATAAATTGTACTGTTTTATAACCACTGTTCCATCTGAGGCCCCAGCCTTGATCTGGTGACTATTACTGTCCTAGTCCGTTAGTCTGATCTGCTACACATTACACAGCGTTTCTCTAGTAGATGACTTCAATTGTAGTAGATGAAGGCTGACATGCACAGAACTCTGACTTCTCCTCTAGAATATGGACAACAGAGTGAACCTGCTGTTTTACATTTGGCTATCCATCAGTCAACCCAGTTATTATATCCATTAGGATTCAGTAGACAGCAGCTGATACTAGATCAGTAAACCCCCTGTTCTAATGCACAGATCTATATGCTTTCTGCTCATACACAGGCATTTCAGCTAAATGTAGTTGGACACTCCAGTCAGAGCTGCAGATTAAAGACATGATTTGTTATCTCAACAGGGGGGTGAGCAGAGAGGGTCCCGAGGTAAAGTGGAAGTGATAAGCCATTAGCCTTCAGTAGATTAACGGACTGGCAGAAGAGCAGTGTGCTTAGAATAAAAAGGATGCTGTAGCTTAAGTAAGGATATGTAAAGCATATATTGGAAATACATCACTGGGTTTGTAGAGGAGTATAGACTTCTAGGTCATAAGATGCTGTGAGCGTAACAATGAGATGAGATTTGCAAAGACAAGAAGAATGGAACCTTAAAATTAAAACACAAAGTATTTTCTCCTCAGTGGACACTGTGTTGACATGTTAGATGAAGATACACTGATGAGCCAATATACTGAACAAATCATGAGGGACAAATCATGAACAGGTGACAGTTTGTTGCTCATCGATTCGTCTGGTCCGAACTGACAAAAGGTCTATTGTGGCTCAAGTCAAAAAAATTTTAAATGATTGTTGTGGGAAGAATGTGCTACAACACACAGTGCATCGCACCCTGCTGCGTGTGGGGCGGCTCATTTCAGCTCATGCTAATGGCTGTCCACTGTCAAAAGTGTCGGAAACTGGACCTTGGAGCAATGGAAGAAGGTTGCCGGGTCCAATGAGTCCCATTTTCTTTTACATCATGTGGACGGCCGGGTATGTGTGCACTGTTTAGCTGGGGTAGTGATGGCACTAAGGTGCAGGTAATGTGACTAAAATGGCAAATAGTTTTAGTTCGATAATAATGTAGTTTTGAGCATTGAAATTATACATATTTCTCTAACAGAACAACAGCAGCTACACCTACCTTGTATAACACCTCTGCACCTGTCGCTAAACTATAAAACTAAAACTATTTCTGAGTAGCTAAAAGAACAGCCATTTAGAACAACAATTATGAGCACAGTTTGGTATTATTCCACTGAAGACCACCAAAGACGGGGCTAAGGAAGTTCACAACAAAGTCAATACAATGTCCCTTTGTAAGTTGGAGGACCTTAATCTGATTTTCTGTTCCACTTTAAATGGTGCAGCAGTTACATTATGGGCACCTCAGACGCCACAGCGTAACTGCTGCACCATTTAAGGTGGAACAGAAAGTTTGAATAAGAAGGTGCAGAATAAGAAATCAACTTAAGCTGCGTCTGATTTCTCAAGTCATTTGTCTCATTTGTGTGTCTCATGTAATTTGAAGATTACGTTGTAATTTGGAGACCATGGCTTGGTTTGATGCAGTTAACTGTACCACGTGGCTTCTCACGTGGTACAAGAAGAAACAATTCTGGTAATCAGTCTGGTGTCCATGGTAGGCCAACCACAGAAGACTAGCCTTCCCTGCCTGCTGCCTCGAAACAAAGTGGACTACGTTAGATGAGACAGACTAAACAGCAGGAGGTGATCAAGAATCTGTTACATTTTCATGTAAAACGTGATTAACATCCATCCATTCAGCTAAAGGGGATCATCTTAGCATAGTTTGCAGTGTTTGTACATTGCGTTATCTGTGCTAATTTGTGGCATGATGGTATAACGGTTATGACAAAACTCCTGCGAAAGAATTTCAACCGGATGAACCAACAAACTGCCCACTACTAGTCTGATCACATTCTGCATTCACATTCCCAATCACTTGAGAAACAATTGCTCTTTCGCTTTTTGCTTTCTTGACACACAAATAGCAGATATAACATGGTACCAGAGTCCCTGCTCTCCAGCCTAGTCTCCTTCTGTGGCTTTAGATAACGTATTTGAAATGTCTCCACTCCTTCCTGATCTGTCATCTCGACCAGTCATCATAAGGTCTTTACTGATGCTAAAGAAGGAAATTTTAATGACTGTACCTCAACTCATGTTTTTACAACATGCTTCCCAATTTCAGCTAAGATGCTTGTGCTCAAATGCTTATTTGTTTACATATAGTCTACTAACCTTTTTTCTGCATATCACCTATATTTGGAGTGGCTGTCAGTGCTGAAATGTGGCCGGCTGCAAAGCGTTAGCGAGGCTAAGCGTTATGTAACCTGAACAAATCTCCTCAAGGGAGGAATGACCCCTGCGTTTTCCCCTCACGGCCGCGTCACACCACCCTGTCGAAGACTGTTAGCGAACAGCTTAGCTGCTAGTAATAATTTGTCTCCATGAGGAGAATGAGAATGTGTTTGACGGATGATTATTAACTTGATTTGAGCATCGCATTAAGCTGATTAAGAAAAATGGCTCTGTCTTAGAGGGTCAAATTGGACTATTTGGAATGTTAGAATCTTTTACAACAATGTTTGATAGTGTTGGCTCTTATTTTTTTGGACAAAATCAATTTTGAGGGCTAGTTGTTAAGGTTTTTATTAGGGATGTGTGGATACCGATACTGATAACTCGTAAAACTCATCAATACCAACATTTTGATACACACTATGACGTAAGCTGAGTGTACAGTGGCTCGCTAATGAACAAACGCAGTGAAGGAGTGTTACTGACACCGTGACAGCTGGACACAAAGTTGCTGGTCACTTTAAACTACTCGTCTTGGAAGGGTCCTGCCAGAATAGAAAAGCTTTATTCGAAACCAAGCGTTTATTTATGGACCGAGTGTATGTCTGGCTATAGAGGACGTTCAGCTGCAGCTCACACCCAAACAAAAGACTTCAGATGTAAAACTCCACTAGTGAGCTATCCGGATACTTTAGCCTCAGATGCGATTTGTGCTGTCACTGTGCAAAAGAGACTTGTTAAAAGAGACAGATCAGGTTTCAGGCCTATGAAACGTACTTTACTTACAATGGTACAGAAGAGCTTTTCTGAGGAGGAACACAACCCGCTGTTCTCCACTGCAGTGCTACTCGATCAAAAGTAACTAATGTAACATAGCTAGTTATTGCATGTCATTTAAAATCAGCTAGATTTCAATGGTTTAACTGTTAAGGTACATTGCACTCATTTACACTAACTACTTAATACTAAGTAGTTTACTCAGTATGGTATCGGACGCAAGTACTGAAAAAATGTGCACTCATACTCATACTCGGTCTGAAAAAATGGTATTGATGCATCCTTAGTTTTTATTATATATATTTCAGTACTGTGCATGTTTTGAAGTAAATCAGAATTGTATTGAAAAAATGTGATGTGGTGAAGTTTGAGACTTAATGAACCATATGTAGGTAATCTCTTTTTTGCAGTGGCTATGAAGTTATTTTTTCTTTTGTTATACATTGTGTTATTCTGCTATTTTTTGGCATTTTTTCTCAGTTTTCTCCCCAGTTAAGTCATATCCAGTTGCACCCACTAGCTAGGTCTCCCCAGTCACATGATACCACTAGAACCAGGCCAGTTGGCTCACTGGGACTCTTAGGGGGTGCTTAGATGGGTGCGCCACTTGGGAGCCCCCACTAATTATTTAATATAAACATGTAGAACAATGCAAGCATGGGTATAATATTTACATGGACAATTTTAATTAAAAAAACAACTACCTAAATTTATATATATATTGATCTGCACAGTTGTTCTTTGGTGCCACCCTAATGGCCATTACACATCGAATGTACCTCGAATGGAATACATGACATGACAAAGTATTTTTTTTCACATGAAAACTACACTTAACAGAGGCGACAGTTATTGGAATGCTGTTGATAAACAAGTGCTGAAGTTATCCTTTGCTCCTCATAAAACGGGTGGCACTGAGCAGGTTACCATTCCTTTTGGAAAAGCAAAAGGAGGACACCTCCTCATTTAGAAGCTGAAACTTTCTGAACACTTTCACAAGGCTTGGATGTCCAAACTTAGTTTGAGCTAACACCACCTGCAAGGACACAAAAGGCAAACTAATCCCTTTAAAGTTTGTAAAAAAAGGTTCTAGTTGATGGGACATGGCCCATCCATCTTCTTTGTTGTCACAACGCCAAATTCCTGAGACAGCAGTGATTGGTCAAGTAAGTTCATGTTGTCAGTGAAAGTGCACATTAGCTGTGCAAAATATTATTTGCAATCATATGCAAAAGCTTGGGCGCCCTTGGTCAAATAATATGTTTTTGTAAAGTGAAAATAAGTAAACACACCCTCTACAGAGAACATACTTCTGCACATTTTAATGCACAACTACTGTTTATATGCTGAATGTAACATATTGGGAAAAGATAAAACATAAAATGTGGCCTTTGAGAAGTTATGGTGCGATTTTATATTTCTGAAAAATGTGTGTGAAACATGTTTTCTGTGTGTGTTTTCTCTCAATAGATGGATCCTGTTCAGAAGGCGGTTATCAGCCACACGTTCGGTCTACCGCAACCAATCAAAAAGAAACAGATCATCTCCTGCAACATCTGTCACCTCCGCTTCAATTCTACAGTCAGTGACAATCTCTCTCTCTCTCTCTCTCCCTTTCCTCGTGACTTAGGTTAAACATTGGTGGGACAGAAAAAGAAAGATTTTAGAATCTCTGTCCTAATCCAAATAAATTATTTGGGGAGAGGGATGTGGACCTATGAGCTTGAATTGGGGTGAATATATTACTTTTATAATTTTTTTTTCTTGTTTTCGTTAACGTACACTTCTGTAAAAGCCTTATGGTGATGGTGCCTCTCTGCTGTTGCACTGCTATGGGAAATAGACATCTCAGTGAACTTGGCATGCGTCAGTTCAGGTTTAGCTTTGGCAGGTGGCCTGCTTTCGCTGGTCTATGCACCATTCACTCTAGTACATAGCACAGATTTTAGTTCAGCTGATACTTCATGTCCTTGATTATTCACTGTCATGCCTACAAGAAGGACTTTACGTTTTGACAACTTTAAGCTTCAGCTACAGAGACCAGAAATTGTCTTTAACGCAGAAGTAGCAGAAATCAAAACTTTTGGTCAGCTTTTGTTTCTGTAATTTACCAACAAAGTTAATAAACTACCTGAGATTGAGAGATAAAGTTGATAACATGAGTAGATAACATGATCGCTACATACTAATGTTGTCTTTTGTAATATTATGTAATATTATGAGCTGACCATACTGCAGTCTGCAGATTGATTAATGCTGGACCAGTGTTTTTGCCTGTAGAAGACCAGCTTGCCAGGCTTCAGCCAAACAGGGAAAAGAACCAGCCAGGCAAAAACGCACGTGGAAAACAGCACTGTTTCTGGTTGCCGTAGCAGCCCTGCATGCTTAATACCCCGACTGTTTTACAACTGTTAAATGCAGTTCCTCATAGTGACTTTAACTCTCTCTCTGCTCTTTATCTTTCCCTCTCTCTTTCTTCCCTTGTTTTCTCTCTCTTTCTCTCCTTGTTCTCTATCTCTACACCTCTCTCTCTTCTTTTGTTTTCTCTCTCTCTCTCACCTTGTTCTCTGTCTCCCCTTGTTCTCTCTCTCTACCTCTGTTCACTCTCTCTCCTTCTCTGTTCCGAACTCTCTCTGTTCCCTCTCATTCTGTCTTTGCTCTTGCTCTCTCCCTTTTTTCTCTGTCCCCTCTCTCTTTCTCTGTTCCCTCTCGCTCACTCTCTCTCTCTTTCTCTACTCTCTGTCTCTCATTTTCACTCTATCTCTCCCTAGATCTCTCTCTCTCTTTGATATCTCTCTGTGTTGCTTTGCCTCTCTATAGCTATTTCTTTGCTCCCTGTAGGTTTTTAAATCCCCAACCCAATTTTCCTCAAACATTGGGTACACACACACACACACACAGAAATAAAGAAAGAAAGAAAATCGAGACCCGATATATGGTAGATTCTCAATTGCTCCATAAATTGTTCTATTCAGTTAAGCTAATTAAAGTGTCTTTTCTTTGCTGTATTCAGTCTTCAGTAACGGAATGTGCCGCTCCAATCAGTGTCCTCTTTTCCGCTTTTTCACTATGAACACTTTATCGCCCCATCTCTATTCGTTCCTCTCTTTTTGTCCTCACATCCTTCCCCTTTCCCTTTAATGTGATGCTTTAGTGAAGAATTATAAACTGCTTGTGGCTAAAAAGCAGCCAGTTATCAGAATCAGAATCAAATTTTTACACTACACTTATATATTTGACTTAGTGAGCGACCACATGCATGATATCTAACAGACCGGACAGGTACACAAGGCTATTAACGAATAAGATACAAAAAGAGGCAAAAAAATAACAATATGTAAATATTTACACATGTCCATGTTCTGAGGAGACAAAATCTAGTAGATTAAAGAATTTATACAACAATACAGTTATACATAGTATATAATACAATGGATGGGGACACAGTAAGGGAGATTTCAGGGTGGCCATTACAGTTCACGATGGCTACAACTCTGGAGAAAAAAAACTATTAGCATGTCTAGTTGATTTTGATGGCCCTCAGTATTTTACCAGAATCTCTGATAGCCCTTAATCATGTTCCAGAATCTTTGATAGCCCTTATTCTTCTACCAGAATCTTTTATGACCCTTACTCTTCTAACATAATCTGTGATGGCCCTTATTCTTCTACTAGAATATTTTATGACCCTTGTTCTCCTACCATAATCTTTGATGGCCCTTACTCTTCTACTAGAATCTTTGATGGCCCTACATGTTCCAGCAGAATATTTGATAGCACTTACTCTTCTACCAGAATCTTTGATGGCCCTTATTCTCCTACCATAATCTTTGAGGACCCTTACTTTTCTACCAGAATCTTTGATGGCCCTTACTCTTCTACAAGAATCTTTGATAGCCCTTATTCTTGTACTAGAATCTTTGATGGTCCTTACTCTTCGACTATAATCTGTGATGGTCCTTACTCTTCTACCAGAATCTTTAATGGCCCTTATTCTTCTACTAGACTCTTTGATGACCCTTACTCTTCTACCAGAATCTTTGATGGTCCTTACTTTTCTACCAGAATCTTTGATGGTCCTTATTCTCCTACCAGAATCTTTAATGACCCTAATTGTTCCAGCGGAATATTTAATGGCCCTTACTCTTCTACCAGAATCTTTGATGGCCCTTATTCTTCTACCAGAATCTTTGATGGTCCTTATTCTCCTACCAGAATCTTTAATGACCCTAATTGTTCCAGTGGAATATTTAATGGCACTTACTCTTCTACCAGAATCTTTGATGGCCCTTATTCTTCTACCAGAATCTTTGATGGCCCTTATTCTTCTACCATAATCTTTGATGACCTTTACTCCTCTACCATAATCTTTGATTGCCCTTATTCTTCTACCAGAATCTTTGATGGTCCTTATTCTCCTACCATTATCTTGCATGACCCTTACTCTTCTAGCAGAATCTTTGATGGTCCTTATTCTCCTACCATAATCTTTGATGGCCCTTATTCTCCTATGATGATCTTGAATGACCCTTATTCTCCTACCATAATCTTTCATGGCCCTTACTCTTCTACCATAATCTTTGATGACCCTTATTCTTCTACCAGAATCTTGATGGCCATTATTCTTCTGCCAGAATCTTTGATGGTCCTTATTCTCCTACGATAATCTTGAATGACCCTTATTCTTCTACCAGAATCTTTGGTGGTCCTAAATGTTTCAGCAGAATATTTGATTTGAGTCTTTTACCAGAATTGTTGATTCACTAAAAAACTTCTTTGATGGCTCTGACTGTTCTACGAGAATCTTTGATGGCAATGAATCTCCTCCCAGAATCTTTGACGCCCCAGAATCTTGTTTGATGGCTCTGAATCTTCTACTGGAATCTTAACCACATCAACCTGACAAGCCCTGTACCAGGACAAACAAACAAACAAACAAAAAAAGAAAGCCACTCATTTAAATCTGCCACTAGAGGAGTTGTACTGTGTGCGCACTTCCATTGGCAACAGTAACATGCAGTGAGAAAAAGGCATGCTCATTCAGAGCACAGTTCTGATCAGTAAGAGTTTAGTCATCAGAATCAGCCACTTTTTTGCGTCTGCCAAGTGAGAGGTGTGGATCGTCATGGATGTCTTTACTGTAGTGTCATGGCAATGCCTCATGGCCACAGGCGCATACATGCATACACACATACACACACATTGCATTTACTTGATTCAAACATGTACATTATTTTCACATAAAATAAGAAATATTGCATCAGCACAGCTATTGGTAAGTAAACCAAAAAACTAAATTGTTCAAGTAATATGTTTTATTTATTTACAAATCATTCAGTTAATCAAGTAAATTCAGGGTATCACTTTTTTCTTTATAGTCACTTGCTCCACTCTCCACTATTCCTTAGATTGCTTTTTTTTATCCAGCGTCAATTTTTGCACTGCTAGTTATTCCGTTACACATTTGCATTTTGATTGTTAAGACGGAAAACTCCATTTTTTCTTGGATATATGCCAACTTGCTGTTTTGGAAGGTGGATCATGCTGGGGTGTGTGTGTGTGAGTGTGTGTTAGAAAGAGAGTGCTGCAAGAGTGTGATAAGAAATGGTTGTATTTATTCGAACGACACACCCCCAGGCCCTGGGATCTATACATATCAGATATTACCAATTTCACGTTTTTAAGGCATGAATTTTAGACACTTCACTCTGAATAGTAAGATGTTCACTTTGAATAGTAAGAATGCTCTAATCAAATTAGATTTTTAGAGTTAATTGAATAACTGCAACATACAATAGTAATCTTTATCTTAGTACTATTTTTGTTATGAAATGTATGGGATTTCAGTGATACAGTCGACCCACCTAGAAAGCAAGTCTCATTATGCTCTCTTGGACTCCCAGCTACAGGTGGCTGAGGCGTTACCAGATCTCCTAACAATAGGACCAACACTTGCACTGCATTTACATGTTTGTGTTGAAAAAAGTCATTCCACACCTCATAAAGCCACACAAACGTTGGTGTGAGGACTATTGATTATTAATGATTATCAGAGGAGAGCTTTAGCAGTATATACTGTTTATTTAAAGGTAGGAAAAGGCAAGAGGACGCTCTGTACTCTTTTATTTTTGTTGTATAATACTGAGAGTGTCGGGAATTCAATAACCAGACATTTTGCATCCATGGCTCCCCAAGTAATCTACATCCGGTTTATTCCACCCCTGCTGTCAACAGCAAAAGTTGAGAAAATTGATTTATTGGTGGAACGTTCCGCTCACTGCTTGGGTCTGCAGAATGTTGCGGCTTGCAGTGGCAGAATTGTCTGTTTTGTCTGTTTTAAAATATCAGGTTTGCCGTTATCCATCTACCACAAACATCTAAATGCAACATTACACGGTAGCCCCACTTATGTTGCAGTTTTTATATCCAAAAAATTGCTTCTTTTCCTGCCTATTTGGAATTTTTAAATTCTACAAACTTTATGAAAAATTAAACGTTCTAGTTTTCTGATTGCTAACATTCTCTTCATAACATCCAAACCACTTGTTTCCAAGCTTTCCAAACTAAATTATTATGAAACG